GGGGGAGAATGAGGAACAGGAAAAGCAGTAGCTTGTTCACAAGCTAAAATAGCAATCATGGCAAGAAACAAAGTAACAGGATTTCTAAAATGTCCTTTTTGCCGAATAATGTCAGAGGCTTCAGCACTAAGGTGACAAAATTGATTCCAGGAAGGTAGAGACACATCACGGTATGATGAATAACGTCTGTTGTTCTGTCGGGACCGGCGTCTGTGACGAGTAGGAGTCGTCACTCGCAGTTGATGAAATTTCAGGATCAAGGAGTTTGGACCTTCTCTGTTGTTTAGGTTCATGCTTCACAAGGCGTTCAGGAACCCAAATTAGGTGAATCATCAGACCTAGGAAAAACACAAACATGACCTCGTCCCCATATGAGGACTGGATCTGGGCCATGCCACTGATTAGAAAGGGTATCTTTCCAGACAACTTCAGGGTGAGCCTTATGACCAGGATGCCAAAAGTGATCAATAGCTGAACAGTTGTTGTCATCTAAAGTGAGAAAGTTTAGTACATAGCATGCATGACGAAGCCAGTCATGCGGAGACTTGGAAAATGACACAGTATTAGAATCACGTTTCAGTTAGATAGCAGATTTTTTGAGAACAGCATGAGAGCGTTCAATGATACCCTGGCCTTGAGGGTTGTAAAGAATACCTGTATGATGAGAGATTTGAAATTGTGAGCAAAATGACTGAAAACTCTTACTGGTATAAGCAGGACCATTGTCAGTTTTTAAAATCTTAGAAGGACCAATAATAGAAAATACCAGTAGAAAATGAGAAATAACATCCTTAACTGCTTTTCCGGTGTGGGAAGAAGCTACAAGAAAGTGGGAAAAGGTATCAATGGTAACATCAATAAATTTAAGTTTGCCAAAAGGAATAAAATGTGTAACATCCATCTGGTAGATATGGGCAGGTTGCAAGCAGCATGGGTTAACTCCAAGATGAATGGTCTGTGGGAGAAAAAAAACACAGGCAGGGCATTGTTTAACTATTTGTCTTGCCTGTTCCCTGGTAATGTGAAACTGTAGTTGGAGACTTCTTGCATTTTGATGATGTATGGCATGAGAAGACTTAGCCTGCTATACAGGAGAAAGAGCAGGAAAAATATTTTGAGTTAGGGCGTAAGTGGCAGAATTTCCAGTGGCCAAGTGTCCAGGTAGGTTAGAGTGGGCTCTGATATGTCCTATAAAGAAATAATGGAAATGGCATCTAAGAACCTGTTGGAGAGGCAGAAGTAAGGAAATGATAAAAGAGGAGTCTGAGAAAGACAATGGAGCAGTTTCAAAGTTCTGGACTAAGTTAACAACATATTGGCTATCAGAATATAAATTTAAAGGGAAATCCCAATTTAAAAGCACATGTTGAACAGCAAGTAATTCTACTCTTTGCGCAGAATGTTCCTCAGTTTGAAAAGAAAAAGATTGAACATTAACTACTCCAGCAGGGATGCCAGATGCTGATCCATCAGTAAAGGCTAAATAAGCGGAAGGCAAAAGGGTTTTCACACAAACTTGTAAAAAAATAAGAGAGCATTGAGAATAAAATTGGAGAAATTTATCAGTAGAATAATAACATAAAATTTTACCAGGATATCCAGCAAAGGAAATCTACCAAGAATCAGAAAATGTCCAGAGCCATTGTTGTTGTGAATTATTATCAGAAACAACAATCTCCGATGGTTCATAACCAAAGAGTGTTAGGGCTCTGGATCGGCCTTTGGCGACCAAAGTGGCCACTAGATCAAAATAAGGGGTGATGACTTTACTCCTACTGGCCGGTAGATGGAGCCACTCCAACACTCCTTGTTGCCAAAAAACTCCAATGGGAGTGTACTGTGTGCGAAGTACACAATAACACCAAGAAGTTTTCACAGAAATTCTTGTTAGTTTGTGTTGTCTTAGAGACTCATTAACCAACTGTAAAGCCTGTTTAGCGGGTTCTGTAAGTTGCCTAAAAAATTTAGGGTCAGAGGAACCTTTAAGAATATCAAACAGAGGTTTCAATTGACCAGTAGTTAATTTTAAACTAGGACGTATCCAATTAATATCTCCAAGAAATTTTTGAAAATCATGAAGAGTTTTTAAATGGCTTGTAACTAATAAAGGCGATTTAAAGGAAACCTGATGAGAATCAATAAGCCTACCCAGGTAGTGATAGGGAGTAACTAACTGAAACTTGTCAGTAGCAACAAGATTAGCACTTAATAAACATGCCTGCAAAGAGTTATAGATTTCAAAAAGAAGCCCTTCTGTAGGTGCAGCTAAGAGTAGGCCATCCATGTAATGTAACAGTAAGGCCTCAGGACACACGGATAGAATCAGAGATACTGGCATGCTGCAATGGCCTTATGGCAGCCTGACAGTCCGCGTTAGCATTTTCAAAAGCCAATTGTTTGGCCAGCATAGAGCTGGCTTGCTGATCGCCAACCTGACGAGTAATTGCCTCTAAGACATGGGAAACAAATTCTTGATAAGGTTAATCAGGTCCCTGGAGGATTGTAGACAGCTCCTCTCTCTTAGAGCTCTGAGATGAAAGTTGGCGCCATGCTTTCATAGCTAATGTATTAATTTGCTACAAAGCTTCATCAGAAAGGGCAATTTGATCTTACAAAGTTTCAAAAGCACCTCTGCCCACAAGCATATCTAAAGTAACCTGGCTTCTGCCATGGCGGTTGCGCTCAGACTGATTAAAAGTGGCCTCATTGAAACAAAACCGGCAATGGCAGCGGCGGAGGAGGAGGACGGGGGCCCCGAAGGGCCAAATCGCGAGCGGGGCGGGGCGGGCGCGACCTTCGAATGTAATATGTTTGGAGACTGCCCAGGAAGCAGTGGTCAGTGTGTGTGGCCACCTGTACTGTTGGCCATGTCTTCATCAGTGGCTGGAGACACGTCCAGAGGGGCAAAAGTGTCCAGTGTGTAAAGCTGGGATCAGCAGAGAGAAGGTTGTCCTGCTTTATGGGCGAGGGAGCCAGAAGCCCTAGGATCCCAGATTTAAAACTCCACCCCGTCCCCAGTGCCAGAGACCAGCTCCAGAGAGCAGAGGGGGATTCCAGCCATTTGGTGATACCGGGAGCTTCCACTTCTCATTTGGTGTTGGTGCTTTTCCCTTTGGCTTTTTCACCGCTGGGGTACAGGTGTGGATCTGGGACAGTGTCACCCGGCCTCCAGCTGGCAGGATTCTCTCTTCCTGTTTCTTGCCATCTTCTTTTTTTGGCTGCTCAGTATTTGAGCTATGACTCCTTCCTGCCCACCTCCAGCCAGAGGAGAATCAGTATTGGGGGTCACTGCTGACCCTTCCTTACTCCTGGATCCCCCGACCCCTCTATTTCTGTTGGCTAAGGCCAGCCCTGGCCATTCTGCAGGGCGGCATAGGGACGTCTTGACATAGGATGGGAGAGACTTCTGCTCAGAGGTTCACTCAGTAATATTGTAATTCGCTGCCCTGGGGAAGGAGAATGGACTGAGAGAATGTCTTTCTCCTCTTCTGAGTCTGCCCTCCCTGATTTCTTGATTTGATCTTGAAAGGTGGGCAAGGCTCCCTCTGACTCTCCCCCACTCCCCATCTTACTGATTTAATTTAATTTTTCACTCCCCAGAGTCTAATATGGAATCTGACTCTTAAGTGCTTCCTCTTCCTCACTACCTCCTTTAATACAAATTCAATATAAAAGGTGAAATGTAAAAAAAAAAAAAAAAGCGGCCTCATCATAATAGGTTCTCCATAACAGAAACTCTCCACCAGAAGACAAGCTCTAGTTAGTCTTATCCATTCAGCCAGTGGCAAGGCAGCTGTTGAAAAATTTTCTAAAATAGACAAAGTATAAGGTGCTGTTGGGCCATAGTGCATGACAGCTTCCTTGAGATCTTTCAGGAACTTAGGGGGAATAGCCTCATAATGGCGGGTGGTATTGCCTGCATAATCAGTAATTTCTATAAGAGAATATAATTACGTGCTGTCAGCATTGACAAAACCTTTACGCATGGACATCGTGGCTTGTGTTAGTGGGGAGATGGGAGCAGTGGGGGTGGATATAATAACCAAAGAATTCGAAAGTACAGAAGATGGTGCCTGAGCAACAGGAAAGCAGTGTTGTTGATGCAAGTGAGTGCTTTAGAGAAAAGAGAAAGTAAGTCTCTGACTTGATCAGAAAGGTCCGAGGGAAGGGTAAGAGTTACTGGGTTATGATCTCGGCAACGGGTGTTAGGTGGGGAGACATACCCGTTGGGCTCTTGTAAAACAGCTTCTGTCACAAATTGGCAGCTACCAATAGGTGAATGTCTAGAAGAATGGTCAAAACCGTGCTCCATTTGATCAAGAGGATCAAGTTCAGAAGCAGGAGGGGAGAAAGCAGCAGCAGGGGAAGAAACAGCACTGTGAGAGCAAGGGCGAGCAGATTCCGCTTGAGAAGAGTAGACCAGTTCTTAAGCTCAGACCAAAAAAAGAGTAAAACCTCAGTCTGGGGTAAAGCTTCATTATGAGAGGCATATTGTTCAATCTTCTCACCAATCACATCCCATGCAGTTTCCTCCAATATTCCTCCTTCTGGAACCCACGGGCAAATTTCACGAATAATGTGCACAAATTCCTCCAGTTTTTAGCTTAATATCATGTCCATGTGACTTAATCATATTTTGCAATAATTGTATAAACAAGTTACACTCCTTAGATTCTATATGCCCCATGTTTCACTCCAGATGAAACTTAGAAATTGTTTGACTTGTATGTACAACGAAGAGAGAAAAAATTTGATTAATATTATACAAAATCAAAAATAGAGAGCTTACTTACGAGAAAAGCCAAACTTACTGCTGCAGCCTTACCTTTATAACTTGAGCGTCACTGTGATCCCTTGTGTCCAGGGTCCCTGTTCAGAAGCCAGATGAGGGGGTCCGGCAGGTCTGCTACAGGGCTTCCGACCAGCGAAGAGCCTCAGCCCCACTCAAGTGTTCTCAACCTGGAAGAGGGAGTGTGCAGAAGAAAAGATAGAGAGTGGGGTCTGGAGGACTGCCAGGCAATGCCGGAGCAGCAAGTGCCAAAACAGCAAGTTTATTTGTGCACACCACAGGTTATATACATTTCAGTGCTTGAGGAGTGATGTACGTTCCATTGTATCTTGAAATAAAATCAAGAACATAAATCACAAGAAAAGGGATACAGAAAATATGACTTAATCATAGGGTGTACAGCAAAAAGACAATAAAGTTTGCAAAAGGGGGTCATAAATCTAAACATATGTTTATCTAAAATCAGTCAAACAAGCAACTAAGATCGTTAACAAGGTACAGCTGGACCTTTCCAAATGTCATTCTAACCTTGCCTATTCATATAGGATCATATACAAACAATATGATTGAGTTAACAGAGATAAACAAAGTCATACAGTTATTGTGCAGAGAAGGAACTAGGAGGCACACAATGTCTAATCACACAATGTCTCATTAGAACACAAGGCCTGAGCCCAGCCATTCCATTGCAAATGTCAGAGGCAATGATTGATGTTTATAAAATCAGTGCAACCAGACTTCCTCTTTTCCCTTAGCTCAACAGCCTCCAGGAAAAAAGAAACTTGTATGGGCTCAAGCTCAAAATGGTGAGGATCCTGTCAAGGGCCCTTTGCAGAAGCAATCCCCACATTTAAGTTCACACACAATCTAATATTTTTTTTTTTTTGAGATGGAGTTTTACTCTTGTTACCCAGGCTGGAGTGCAATGGCACAATCTCTGCTCACCGCAACCTCCGCCTTCTGGGTTCAAGCAATTCTCCTGCCACAGCCTCCCCAGTAGCTGGGACTACAGGTGCACACCACCATGCCCAGCTAATTTTTTTGTATTTTTAGTAGAGATAAGGTTTCACCTTGTTTACCAGGATGGTCTCAATCTCTTGACCTTGTAATCCACCCACCTCAGCTCCCAAAGTGCTGGGATTACAGGTGTGAGCCACCATGTTAAAAGTGTACTTTGAATGTAATTATAACTTTTCAAAAACTTTTTCCATCTTTTACAGTTACATGCAAATGATTTATCTAACAACTTTAGCTCTGGATTTTATTTTATACTCAGCACTCTGATTTATTGTAATGTTTCTGTCAGTGCCTAAGATATTTTTACTGTAAGTTATCTGATATTTACATAAACTTTGTATTAAAATAGTTTTATATTTACTGCATCTGCAAATATATATGTGTGTGTGTGTATATATATATATATATATTTTTTTTTTTTTAAGACAGAGTTTCACTCTTGTCACCCAGGTGGGAGTGCAATGGCACAATCTTGGCTCACTGCTCCCAGGTTCAAGCGATTCTCCTGCCTCAACCTCCTGAGTAGCTGGGAATACATTACATGCACCAGCCACCATGCCTGGGTAATTTTTGTAAGGATGAGGCTTAAAAAAATGTTGACCAGGCTAGTCTTAAACTCTTGACCTGAGGTGATCCACCTGCCTCAACCTCCCAAAGTGCTGGAATTACAGGTGTGAGCCACCATGTCTGGCCTGCAAAAACATATTTTAGTATAAACTCTCTTGTGTTTTCTAAGCTATAGGTTTTGAAATGTAGGTTTTTTCAAATTTATGACGTTTGCAGAATTTTTCTCCAATACAGAATGCCTGATGTTGAACAAAGTTTGAGCAACTGCTTCAGGGTTTTTCTCTAGTACAAAATGTGGGTGATAAGATCTGTGATACACGTAAAGGTACTAAAACCTTCTTTATGTTTGTAATATTTGTCTTCAAAATGAATACACTTAGCTTTAAAGGCTTTTATTTTCCTTTTTGACAGTAATTGCATTCATTATGCTTTTATTAAGTGCCAACATTCTGATATTAAGATGTAAGCAGAGATTAATGGCTATTCCATATCATTTGTATTTGTACAATTTTTCTCAAGTATAAATGCTTTCCAATGCAATAAGATTTGGTCATTAACAGTATTGCCAAATACTTCACACTTAGTTTTCTCCAGTATAAATTATCTTACGTACAACCAAGTGTGAAAACTATTTAGTCTTTGACACATTCTTTACATTTCTAGTATGTTTCACCAGTATGACTTTCTTTGTATTTAGAAAAGTTTAAGGCGTTGTCAAAATCATTGTCACATCTTTCAGTTTTGTAGATCTTCTCTCCGATATGAATTTTTTTATGTCTAGCAAGGTTCGCAGATTGGTTAAAAGCTTTGTCACATCTCTCACATTTATAGGGTTTCTCTCCAGTATGAATTATCTAATGTTCAGTAAGTTTTGAAGATCGGTTAAAAGCTTTGCCACATTCTTCACATTTGCAGAGTTTCTTTCCAGTATGACGTTTCTTATGTTCAGAAAGTTTGGAGGATCGGTAAAAAGCTTTTCCACATTCTTCACATTTGTAAGGTTTCTCACCAGTATGAATTCTTATATGTGTAGTAAGTGCTGTGGAGTGTTTAAAAGCTTTGCCACATTCTTTACATTTGTAAGGTTTCTCTTCAGTATGAATTTTCTTATGTTCAGTAAGATTTGAGGATCGGTGAAATGCTTTGCCACATTTCTCACATTTGTAGGGTTGCTCTCCAGTATGAATGTTTTTATGTTCACTAAGATTTGCAGATCGGTTAAAAGCTTTGCCACATTCTTCACATTTGTAGGGTTTCTCTCCAGTATGAATTCTTTTATGTGTAGTAAGGGAGTGGGAGTGTTTAAAAGCTTTGCCACATTCTTCACATTTGTAGGGTTTCTCACCAGTATGAATTCTTTTATGTGTAGTAAGGACCGAGGAGTGTTTAAAAGCTTTGCCGCATTCTCTACATTTGTAGGGTTTCTCTTCAGTATGAATGTTTTTATGTTCATTAAGTATTGAGGATTTCTTAAAAGCTTTTCCACATTCTTCACATTTGTAGGGCTTCTCACCAGTGTGAATTCTTTTATGTATAGTAAGGGCTGAGGAGAGTTTAAAAGCTTTGCCACATTCTTTGCATTTGTAGGGTTTCTCTCTGGTATGAATTCTCTTATGTGCAGTAAGAATTGAGGATCGGGTAAAAGCTTTGCCACATTCTTCACAGATGTAGGGTTGATCTCCGGTATGAATTCTCTTATGTGTAGTAAGAGTTGAGGATTGGGTAAAAGCTTTGCCACATTCTTCACAAATGTAGGGTTGCTCTCCAGTATGAATTTTCTTATGTGTAGTAAGATTTGAGAACTGATTAAAGGCTTTGCCACATTCTTCACATTTGTAGGGTTTCTCTCCTGTATGAATTCTCTTATGTGTAGTTAGAGTTGAGGATCGCTTAAAGGCTTTGCCACATTCTTCACATTTGTATAATTTTTTTGGAGTATAATTTTTTTTATATGCAGTAAGGTTTGATTGGTTAAAACCTTTTTCACATTCTTCACATTTGCCAAAATTCATTCTAGTATAAATTCTTTTATGTTGAGTTAGGCGTGAAAGCATGCAAAATGATTTGCCACATTCTTCACATTTGAAATGTTTATTTTCCATATGTTTGATCTTATATCTATCTGAATGTGGAAATTTATGAAAGACTCGCACATATCTATCACACGGAAACATCTTGCTCTGGGTAGTTGGTAAACATTGGTTAAGTCCATTAAAACCTCCTTTGTGGACCTTACACTCAGCCACACTTTTGCAGCCATTTAAATGAAAATTCTCATATCCACATTTTTCACATCTTCTCAGTGTCATATTTTGAGAAGAATCTTTTATGTTCTGCTCTGGCCAAAAGTCTTGAGCAAACTGAGAACACATGACTGAAAGAAATAAAAATAACACATTACCTTACAGACTCAGATAAACAAACTTTCCAAATACAACATAAAATTACACAAACGACACAAGCAAGATGACATCACAGGCCGTAATTAAGTGAGTGTATTGCCCCAGGTGGGTACAATGCAAAGACCCACACAGAAAGAAAGAAATTCTGTCACATTTATCCAATACAGCTTTTTCTACTCCCCGACATAACATAATGTTTTTAGCAGTAAATTGCCAACCTTACTACTTACAATTATTTACTTTATTTAATTTATTATTATTTTTTTTTGATAGAGTTTCGCTCCTCTTACTTAGGCAGAAGCGCAATGGTGCAATCTCGGCTCATGGCAACCTCCGCCTCCTGGGTTCAGGCAATTCCCCTGCCTCAGCCTCCTGAGTAGCTGGGATTACAGCCACGTGCCACTATACCAGCTAATCTTTTGTATTTTTAGTAGAGACACGGTTTCACCATGTTGACCAGGATGGTCTTGATCTCTTGACCTCGTGATCCACCTGCCTCAGCCTGTTGTTTTTTTTTTCTTTAAGATGCAGTTTCATGGTTGTTACCCAGACTGGAGTGCAATGGCACAGTCTCGGCTCACCACAACCTCTGCCTCCTGGGTTCAAGAAATTCTTCTGCCCCAGCCTCCCAAGTAGCTGGGACTACAGGCGTGCACCACCATCCCCAGCTAATTTTTGTATTTTTAGTAGAGACGGGGTTCTCACTACATTGACCAGGATAGTCTCGATCTCTTGACCTCATGATTCACCCACCTCAGCCTCCCAAAGTGCTGGGATTACAGGCGTGAGCCACTGCCCAGCAGCACTTAATTTTTCAACGATGTCAATGCAGCCAAACGTGGTGAACCGATTCAACATAATCTCTACAAAAATCCCATTAGCGATGACTCATGCATATAATCCTATCACTTTGGGAGGCTGAGTTGGGCAGATCACCTGAGGTCAGGAGTTTGCGACCAGCCTAGCTAACATGGTGAAACCCTTTCTCTACTAAATATTCAAAAATTAGCTGTGTGTGGTGGCACATGCCTGTAGTCCCGGCTACACAAAAGATTGAGGCAGGAGAATTATTTGAACCCAGGTGGTGAAGGCTGCAGTGAGTGAGATGTGCCACTGCACTCCAGCCTAGGCCACTGAAAAAAGAAAGTTATACACACAGACACACACTGGAATATTATTTGCCTTTAAATAAACCTTGTTACACTTTAAGATCAACTTTGAGAATATTATGCCACACGAAGCCAGTAATAAAATGATGGATACTATATGATTCCACTTATATGAGGTATCTTAATTAGTCACATTCATTGAAACAAAAGGTACAAGGGTATTTGTTTATCCTGGAAAAAGGATAAAATGTGTAGTTATTACTTAATGGGTATCGAGTTATAGTTTCACAAGATGAAAAGTTTATGGAAGTCGTTTGCATAACAATATAAATATGCTTAACTTGCCTGAAGTGTCATTTCTTTGATACAGGTTCTCATTCTTTGAGTAAAGTGGCACAATAATGGCTCACTGTAGCCTCAAACTCTCAGGTTAAAGAAATCATGCACCACCAATCTCCCAAGAAGCTGGGACCGAAAGTGCATACCACCGTGCCTGGCTATTTTTATTTATTTATTTATTGCAGAAAGAGAATCTCCGTACACTTCCCAGGCTAGTGTCATACTTTTGGGTTGAGCCTCCTGTTTTGGGTTGATTCTCCTGTCTTAGCCTCCCAAAATCCTGGGATCAAAGATGTGAGTCACTACCATGCCTGACCATGAAATATAAACTGAAATAGATTTTAGATAAGAAAATTTATCGTATGTGGTTTTACAACATTTTGTTTTAAAGATAAATTTTATAAATACAGAATCATAAATCTTTACCTTCAAATCACAGAATTGGATCTCTCACATGAAAGAAATATACATTTATAATTAAACACAAAATGCAAGTAAGACTATCTCCATGACGAATCACTTAAACAAAATAAAACCACCATTGAAAATCAGCTAAGAATACATTCAAGATAAGGCATAATCAAAATTGGGGTCATATTTATAGACAAATACATATATATATATAATATGACTGGGAGAAACATATGGCTTGCTTATCTCTTAATTAAATCCAACATTGACTTAAAGTATACAAAAGAATTTTGCAAATTGTCTAAAATGGTAAAACAAAAACCACAATAAACAGATTTTTAAAAATTGTACTTTAGGTTCTGGGGTACATGTGCAGATGATGCAGGGTTGCTGCCTAGGTACATAAATGCCAATGTGGTTTTCTGCTTCCATCTCTGCATCACCCATACTCTATCTGCCATTTCTCCCCATGTTATCCCCCCCAAACCTCCACACTTCCTGCTGTCCCTCCCCTAGCCTCCACCAACAGACCCCAGTGTGTGGTGCTCCCCTCCCTCTGTCCATGTGTTCTCACTGTTCAACACCTGCCTATGAGGGAGAACATGTGGTGGTTGATTTTTTGTTCTTGTGTCAGTTTGCTGAAAATGACGGTTTCCAGATTAATCTGTGTCCCTAACAAAAAACACAAACTCATCATTTTTTATGCCTGCATAGTGTTCCATGGCATATCTGTGCCACGTTTTCCTTGTCCACTCTATCATTGATGGGTATTTGGGTTGGTTTCAGGTCTTTGCTATTATAAACAGTGTTGCTATGAACATATCTGTACATGTGTCTTTATAACAGAATGATTTATAATCCTTTGGGTATATACCCAGTAATGGGATTGCTGGGTTAAATGGAATTTCTATTTCTAGGTCCTTGAGGAAGCGCCACACCGTCTACCACAATGGTTGAACTAGTTTATACTTCCACCAACAGTGTAAAAGTGTTATTTCTCCACATCCTCTCCAGCATCAATAAACAGATTTTAAACTGAAAAAGCGCACAAATACAGAATGACAAAACTATTTCATAAGAGAAAAATGTTTACTCATAAAATCTTGCAGGCAACATTGATATAGCATTAAAAATAATGTGTCTAGGAAACTGTAATATTTGATTGTAACTGTACTCATGAAAGGCAGGTATTCTGAATCCTTGGCATATGCTATATGGCAGTATAATTCCAGGAAAAATTCAGTATTATAATAAGCGAGAGATTCTGAGAAACTTTTTTTTCTTTTGAGATGAAGTTTCGCTCTTGTTACCCAGGCTGGAGTGCAATGGCACAATCTTGGCTCACCGCAACCTTCGTCTCCTGGGTTCAGGTAATTCTCCTGCCTCAGCCTCCTGAGTAGCTGGGATTACAGGCACGTGCCACCATGCCCAGCTAATTTTTTGTATTTTTAGTAGAGACGGGGTTTCACCATGTTGACCAGAATGGTCTCATCTCTTGATCTCGTGATCCACCCGACTCGGCCTCCCAAAGTGCTGGGATTACAGGCTTGAGCCACCGCGCCCAGCCTCTGAAAAATTTTAATAAATAATCATCTAAAAAAACTAGAAGGCTGGGCGTGGTGGCTTACACCTCTAATCCCAGCACTTTGGGGGTTGAGGCAGGTGGATCACCTGAGGTCAGGAGTTTAAGATCAGCCTGGCCAACATGGTAAAACCTGGTCTCTACTAAAAATACAAAAATTAGCAGGGCGTGGTGGTGAGGGCCCATAGTCCCAGCTAGTAAGGAGGCTGAGGCAGGAGAATCACTTGAATCTGGGAGGTGGAAGTTTCAGTGAGCCGAAATTGCACCACTACACTACAGGCTGGCCACCAGAACAAGACTCCATCTTAATAAAAAAAAAAAAAAAAACAGCGATAATTTTATGTTTTAAATACATGCTATTCTTACACAAAATGAAACTGCTGTAGTCCAACTTTAGAAGGAAAAATTAGCCTTACATTGCTAAATATATATATAATGCTAAACATATATCAGTGTTAAATATATAAAAACATATATTGCAGAATATGGTTAGAGTGTCTGATATACAAAACACATATGTGAAAATATATTATTTAGGTATATATTATTAGGCTGGAGAAAGTGGGTGCAAATCATGGAGTTATTTTTTCCTACAGCGAGCTCAAATTTGCAAGTAACTGTTTTAGTAAATATGGAGCACCTACTAATTATCTAATTTACTTCAGGTATTACATGTAAATTCTAGCATTTGTTCTAAATTTCTGAATCTAAAATTCCAGACAAATTTGAAATAGAAAATGGAGAATAGAAGTATATAGGGAGAATGAAATCAGTAAGATGGCAGAATAAAAGGTGCCCTAATTTGTTATCTCCTGCACAGCAAGACAATCTGTCAGCCATCCCTGACAAAAATGCCTTTATGAGACAGCCAGGTATCATGGCTCACACCTGCAATGAAAGATACACGGTACATTGAGTTTAGAGAACTGCTTCAGGTTAGGATTTCAAAACCAGCCTGAATTCTGTAGCAAGACTGCATCTCAAAATAAGTGCCTTTGATAGCTTTGAGATCCAGAGAGAGACTTGTGGAACTCTCATACAGCCCAAGATTGAAAAGTCTTTTCAGAAGGCGTGACCTCATTCAGGCCCTAGGTGCAAACTACAGGATCCCGTTCCTAACTACAGACTAGGACATGGCCCACCCAACTTGGTCCCACTGAGAAATCTAAACTTACTATATAACCATCTCAAACTCTTCCCAGCCAAAGTCTGGGAAAGATCCTGCTTTTTCAGAGGCTGGTGGGAAGATACCCATTTATACCCACTCGGGCAGGCCTGCAGACCTTGGCCTTTACTTTGGTCTCTGAAGCAGTTCAATGACTCAGTTCCAGCTCCCTGAGCCACAGTTTATGGTCAGTTCTGCCTACATAGAAATCCACCCAGTGACCTAGAAAGATCCTTTCTGGTACTCGCTGAAAGCCGTAATCATCCACATTTTGATATAAGGCCCATGATATGCAGACCAAACTGCAGAAACCTGGACTAGTGTCTGCCCTACAGAACAAAGTCCTCCCCACAAAATTCAGTCTGT